GAAATTGATTTTCTGTCAAAAAATGTTCAACTTGTATGTGGGAAGGTGGATGAAAGGGAAAGGTAGAGTCAAAGACATAAAAAAAAATGTAGGCAGAAAGGCAGGCAGAAGCTGCATAATAGGCACCTCCGTTTTGAGATTGGACTATGATATATGATTCATTTCATCACAGTATAATGAAATGAATTAACAAGAATTAGATAGGAAGTATCCAGGTTCAACCAGTCATTGGATAAGGGAGATGACATCAGTTTCACAAAACAACATAACACCTGTAATAAGTCCATTTCCATTTAACACAGCCTTTCTTATCGTCATATATGGATAATCTTTGCATTGGTATGTAAGGCCTTTCCTAGTTATTTCTATTTTGTGTTCTCGTCTCATGCCCTGTACCCCACCTCCTGTTTATTTAACCCAACATCCCATGCTACCATTTTTTCTCAAACTGTCAGTCAACCTATATTTTCATTTGTACTATTTATTTGCATAGTTAAGAAAATAAACCAGATTTTATTGGGATCAAGGAGCAGTTGATAACAGACAGAGAGAGGAAGCTGTAGAAATGGGGTAAAGGAATGGGCAATGGAAAAATAGATGGAGGAGGACTGAGTCAATCATGGATGAGAGAGATACTAATGGAAACAAATGTGATGGACTAAGCTGAGTAGGATAGTTGGGAGTCAAATCAAGTCAGGGACAATTTAGAAAAGAAAACAAAAAAGAGAGGACTTGACAGACTCATTTTGGGGGGGGTGGGGATTTAACAAACCAAAGAGTGTAAGAGGAAACAGATTGGTTTGCTTGCTTTTTGTGTGTCTGTGAAATTGTTAAACTAACTGAGTGGCAAAAGTTCAAATCATAAAACAAAATTAAAGATGAGAGTTTCAATGCAATGTGTGATGGCCATGTTACATTAAAGGTCAGAAGTTCGTTGTCATTACGATTTTTATCATTTCATTTATTTGATAAAAAATAGAGTACAAACTGTAATATTGCAAAATATTATTACAATTTAAATAAACTGTTTTCTATTTTAGTATATTTTAAAAAGTAATTTATTCCTGTGATGGCAAAGCCATTTTTGTTTTCTCAAGGGCCCTAAATTATTCTAATATGCTGATTCTCATCTTTTCTCACATTTTTGTGACAATCATGCTTTTTTTCTTGCAGGCATGGAGACCGTCTCAGGGGAGGTAGGTTGGGAAGGATCCCTCCATGCAACCGTTGCATTGTCTAACTTCTCCTCCTCCTCATTCTCTGAGCATACTGGACTCAACAGCACTTTCAAAGGAGGATCACACTTCTGGTTGATGTCTCAAAACAGCTCAATAAACCCCACTCAGATGCCCGGTCCGGTCAGGGTGCGGGACATGTCTCTGGCTAAAGCTGAGATTGGAGTTCTGGGCCTGGTTCTCGCTCTCACAACACTAGGGAACAGTTTTGTACTGTGGGTTCTGTTGAGGCGGCGCAAATACAACGCACCCATGCACCTATTTATGGTCAATCTGTGTGTTGCAGACCTTGTGGTAGCGTTTTTTCAGGTGAGTTGAACTTTGTCTAATGCTTAGTGTGGCATTTTGTCTTTTATGTGACTTGTCAACAGCAGTACACTAATGTTTTGCAGGTGCTCCCGCAGCTAGTATGGGATATCACAGAGAGATTTCAAGGTCCTGATGTGCTGTGCCGCTCAGTGAAATATCTGCAGATTGTGGGAATGTTTGCATCCTCTTACATGATTGTTGCTATGACAGTGGACCGCCATAATGCCATCTGCTGCCCCCTGCAGGCTTACAAAGGAGGGGCAGTTTCACGCTGGAATACACCCATCATGGTAGCCTGGGGTCTAGCCCTTGTTCTCAGTGTGCCACAGGTACTAGTTGTAAATATAATGTAAGGTTTATGCCTACTACACTTAAAATGTTAGGTAGTATCAGTCAGTGAATATGCATTCTTAAAGATATAGATCACCCGTAAATGAAAAAAAAAAAAGTTTTTTTTCTTCATCTGAACAGATTTGGAGAAATGTTGTATTACATCACTTGATGACCAATGGATCCTCTGCAGTGAATGGGTGCCATCAGAATGGGAGTCCAAACAGCTGATAAAAACCCAAGTAATCAATAAGACTCCGGACCATTGATTAAATATGATGCTTGATGCTGCTAAAAAGAACATTATTTTGTGTATTTGGTGTAATGAAATGTGTTTATGCTTTAAAAAAAACAAGACCAAACAAAGTAGTTTCGCTTTCACAACGAAACACACGGCGGCCTAGCGTGAGCTGAGGCCAGGCTAGAGTGAGCAGAGGCGTGGGCTTGAGAGCGGCTTTGGATTTGGATTTGGATTTGAGACTTTAGTCTTTGCAACTTTACAGATCTTCTTTATGCACCAAGAGCTTGTAACACTCCAAAGAGAAAGGAAAAATTGAAATCGCATCATATGACCCCTTTAAGTTCTTGAAGTGAAAAACTGTGTGTTTGTAATAAACAAATCCATCATTAAAGGAGTAGTTCATTTCCAGAAGATTCTGTCATCATTTACTCACCCTCCACTTGTTCCAAACCTGAATGAGTTTTGTTCCTCTGTTTAACACAAAAGATGATATTTTGAAAAATGTTGGTATCCGAACAGTTGATGGGCACCATTGACTTCCATAGTATTTTTTTTCCTACTATGGAAGTCAGTGGTGCTCATCAACTGAATGAAATTTTCATTCTGGAAGTGAACTACTCCTTTAAAACCTTTTAACTTTAAACCGTGGTTTCTGGCCAATATAACATTGCTTCCTTACCTCTGTTTCACAAGACATTAACTGATGCACTGGAGTTTTGTGGATTACTGTGTTTTTATCAGCTGTTTGGACTCTCATTCTGACGGCACCCATTCACTGCAGAGGATCCACTGGTGAGCAAGAGATGTAATGCTAAATTTCTCCAAATCTTTTCTGATGAAGACCAATCTTCAATGGTCTGACTGTGTGTAAATTTTCAGCAAATTGTAATTTTTGGTGTGAACTATTTCTTTACAGTGATAGTTCACCCAACAATTTGCCATTATTTATTCACCTTCAGGTCATTACAAACCAGTATGGTATTTATTCCATGAAACACAAAAGGAAATATTCTGAAATATTTTACATATTTTTCCAATGCTGTCTTCCCTACAGGTGTTTATTTTCTCCAGGTCAGAGGTCTCTCCAGGGGTGTTTGAGTGCTGGGGGAATTTTGCTGAGCCTTGGGGGCTGAAAGCGTATGTCACCTGGATGACTGTAGCTGTGTTTCTGCTGCCTACCTTTATTATCACCGTTTGTCAGGTACTCCTGATGTCTATGCATTCCATTTCTGTCTGTAAACCCAGTTTTTCCATTCACCTTGTAAAAAATACATAAATGTTAACACATTAGTTAAGAATTACTACTAGTGGTAGCAGTTTAAATGTATCTGATTCACTACAGTGTTTCTTTTTATATCAGATCAACATACACGCTAAGAAAATAAGCTCTGTGACCGACAGAAGTTTATCATTCTTACACATTATGTTCGTCAAGATAGTCTTCACAAATAAACAGAACTTTTATGAATTTTAAAGCCTGTACAATCACCAGATGTAAAAGCTTAGGCTATATATAAACTACGGTCGCTTGATTTCAACGTCATCAACATTAAGCTTCTGTCAACTCTTTCAATCTTTATTTAAATAATTTAAAGTTGGAAAGTTTGAGTTGAGTATAAACACAACAAGGCTGTGAAAGTGGACTAGTAAGTAGATCCTGTTTGGTGTGATGTAGGCTATAGTGACCCCAAAAACCTCTATTGTCCCATTTAGCCAAT